AAATGGCTGGGCATAGAAATAGGAATGCAATTATTCCAGTGACCTGGTTAGCAAAGTGGGGAGACAAGCCATCGATTTTTTTGGAGGATTTGAATTCAGTCTCTCTTATTAGTGTTAAAACTAGACTGGGGTTTCCCTGGTGGTCCAATGGTTAGGAATCTGCCTGCCAATGCAGGGGACCACCTGTGGTCTGGGAAGAGTCCACGTGCCGTCTGTCCATGGGATTCTCCAGGCAAGGGAACTGGAGTGGGTTGCCATGTCCTTCTCCAGGGGATCTTCCTGGCCCAGGGATCGAAGCTGGGTCTCCTGCACTGCAGGAGATTCTTTACCAACTGAGCTATGAGGGAAGCCCAAGAGAAGTCACTGCAATGAGAAGTCCACACTCCACAACTCGAGACTGGCCCCTGCTCACTGCAACTGGAGAAAGCTGGCACTCGGCAACAAAGACCCAGAACAGCCCCAAGCAAGTAAAATTGAAAAGAAACTAAACGGGATACCTTCTCATGATTGAGAAAGTGCTGGAGAGTTTATAGTGTGTCCACTCTTTCACCAGGTATTTATTGAGGCACTACTAAACGCCCAGTCACCCTTCTCTTTGCTGAGGCTCCAGACATCAGTGAGTTAATTAAGCCGACGTGGTCTTTGCCCTCGCAGAATTTATTATGCCGACCATCAGTCTATGGAGGAACACCATGGATTTAAGAGGTGTACGGACAGGAGGAGCGAATACTTAACCCAGCGGTTTGCTTTCAAATGTAAACTCTTGATTTTAACTTCTGGATTCATCATTTCCTTCTTCACCCTAAAAAAGCCAGTGCTGAAAATGTTCTGTCTTCTAGAGCTTTTTGGTTTATTGAGAATAAAAGTCTCTTGACATTTGTTTGATTGCATAATCCTACTTTCAAACAGAGTAAATATTTGGTTAGAAGCCAGAAGGAACCACTTTTCAAACCAGTTTAAAAAGTGAATATAATTAGAATAACTTTGTGTGACATACAGTCTCTGGAGGAGATACAGTTTGTAACTGTGTAGTAGTAATGTTGCTAGCAGAGTCTTTTGTTAGCACATTGCTTATGTAGATTTGAATGGCCATACTTCCGATTTTAACGTAATTTATATGCATTTATAAACTCCTTTGGTCAGTGTGGAGGGGCTCTACTCCCAGATCTTGGTCCACACTGATTGGAGAGGACCATTCTGACTTGGTGTCTGCAGAAAGTTAGCTGTCTTCTGAGGTCATTGGCTTCCAAGCTTTCTCCTTATTTTCTGGAACTTTTGCATAAACACCACGTGGCAGTTTTTGGTTTTAAATAAAGCAAATAAGAAGCAGACACGATTGCTTTCACTCTGCCCATAGAGTTTCAGCAGCTGCAGAAGTCTCTGCGATGCCGAAGATGGGAGGGGACGGTCCAGACTTCTGCGTGTGAGAGCAGAAGAGTGTTCTCTGGAATGCCCCGCGGAAGAAGCAGGCTGTAGACCTGAGAGGACGTGGGTGTCAGTCCCTGCTTTCCTACCTGTGATCAGGTGGCCTTACTTTTGTGGGAAAGGGATAACACTTGCTTTGACACCCTATGGTGTTAGGAAGGTCAAAGGATGCATGGATTTGAAAGTTCTTTGTAAGCAAAATCTGTGTCAGGAGGTAGGTGGTTTCCCAGGCTTTCTTGTGTTACAAACTGGAATGTGTGTGTGCGTGCGTGTTAAGTCGCTTCAGTCGTGTTTGACTCTCTGTGACCCCATGGACTATAGCCCACCAGGCTCCTCTGTCCATGGGATTCTCCAGGCAAGAATACTGGAGTGGGTTGCCATGCCCTCCTCCAGGTGATCTTCCCAACCCAGGGATCGAACTCGGGTCTCTTACATCCTCTGCATTGGTAGGCAGGTTCTTTATCACTAGCACCACCTGGGAAGGCCCACAAATTGGAATAACAGTCTGTTCCCTGGAACACAGCATCACATGGAAGCTTCAGGGAAGCTTCATTCCTCTCCAGGACGCCTCTTCATCCTCAGGTTGGGGGTGCTCAGAGTACCGTCCTCAGCCTGCCTCCCTCTGCTACCGGCGCCGTGAATCGTTGCTTTTGAGCCCTGAATCTGGCTGTTTTTCAGTAAAGGAGATCTCCTGCCTCACACGCCCTGCAGTCCATTCCGTAGTATGTGATGTGTTCCATGGATCTGTAAGCACGGACGTGTATCTGAATGAACATGCTGTATGCAAGACTGGAGTAACTTCTTTACATTATTTTAATGCTTTGGAATAAGAGCGAATCTTGGCTCACCTTTAAAATGAGAATTTTTATAGACGTGGTTCTTAGCACATGTGAACAGTTTTAGAGTTGACAGTATGTTCTAGACACATGGAAGGATTTAAACAGAAGTGCCGATCGCTGGGGTGGTTGTTAAGTTAATCAATTATTTATGCTAAATCTTGTCTACGCAAGAACCAACTTGTGAGCTCTGAGGTACTAAAAACAAAACCTCACCCTTCAGACAAGGAAAGAACTGTCAGTTCTGAGCGGCACCAGCAGGTGGCACTGGCGGTCACCGGCGGTCCAGCTCCAAGTCCTAAAACTGCTTCCGGCCTCTATGCTTAGATTTGAGTTGTTTTAAGACTGATGACGCTGTAATATCTGACAACTGCAGAAGCCGCGAGCGTGTTGATAGTGAGAAGGGAGCACGATGATGACAGACGAAATTCAGATGGTGATTTTCTAAAAAGCAAGTGGTGAGAAAACACTGGTGTGTGTGTACGTGAGGCGGGTAGTGCAGTTGAAGAAACACTTAGGTGCTGTGTCCAAGCAGACAACAGTCATTGGCAGGTGCTGGGGGGAAATGCTTGACAATGTAGAGCACACCGTGTAATGCATGACTTGGAAGAGTGGTGTCAGACGTGTGTGCAGTGAAATGAAAGTCGCTCAGTTGTGTCTGACTCTTTGCGACCCCACCGACTGTAGCCCGCCAGGCTCCTCTGTCCATGGGATTCTCCCGGCAAGAATACTGGAGTGGGTGGCTGTGCCCTCCTCCAGGGCATCTTACCGACCCCAGGAATCGAACTGGGGTCTCCTGCACTGCAGGCAGATTCTTTTTACCAACTGAGTCACCCGGGAATTAGCCTGACGCTTATTCAGGAAACAACTGCAGGCTTGTTGAGGAGCTGCTCATGGTGGAGACGCTACCGATGAAACCCAGGTCCAAAGCTCTGCGTGTGACAAGGGCCCGAGTCCCTCTGAAAGCCACGACTGGAGGTCGGGGCTCCAGCATTGTCCACGGCAGCTGTGGAGGTTATCAAGGGAGTATGGTTAGCTGCCGCCTCTTTTTCAGTGTAGAAGAAACTGATCCTTTTTGCAAAATGATGCCCCACAGATCTCGTATCACTGAGGGAAGGGAGAATGAACCTGTTCTTAAGGTTCACACTCCTTTTAGTGGAAATGCATTCAAAGACTGCAAGCGTGAGCCCTTCAAAGCCATCTCAGACTTCTAAACAGACCGCCTTCCCCGAAGCCTGCTGGGCGCCTTCTCATCTGTTCATCAGGAGAGGGACTGGCTATTGTCCTGTTGTGCTTTTGGTGCAGGGGGCTGCATCCTTTTTAATATTATGCCCTTATTAATATAATATCAAAATAAGAGAAAAAGAGAATGTGGCAGGTAGAGATTGTGAAACCCATAGGATTCATTCATTTGCCAAGTAATAGGCATAAGGGGCTTCCCAGGTGGCAATAGTGGTAAAGAACCCCCTGCCGATGTAGCAGATGTAAGAGATGCGGTTCGATCCCTGGGTTGGGAAGATCCCCAGAGGAGGAAATGGCAAGCCACTCCAGTATTCTTGCCTGGAGAATCCCATGGACAGAGGAGCCTAGTGGGCTACAGCCCATGGTGTGGCAAAGAGTCGGACACGACTGAAGCAACTTAGCACACATGCACGCACACAGAGGTGGCCAATGCCAGTTATCACCCGCGTCATTTTGGAGATAATTATTCACATGGGAGCAGCTCGGGCAGCTGGGAAGTGCAGTGTCGCAGGTAGCCACGTGCTAGCTGTGGTGGGGAAGGGGCAGGATTGAGGTGGCCCTATGGGTTTGCTTTATGGCACAGAAGTGACCCTAAGTCCCCCCGTGCTCCACGCTGAATCTTAGCACCAGTACTGACCTCCGGCTGAAACGTTTGCAATTTCTGACCTGTGCCAGGACCCAGGATGGAGTCCTCAGGCACAACGCTCAGACGTGGCGGTCCCGTGGGCTGAGGGTGACCGTCTCGGCCACACAGGTCACGTGGCTGCCAGGCTGCCACGGCCCGGACTCCACGCACAGGCCAGGGAGCAGGCGACGGGGCGGGTGTGACTGACCTAGTCTTAGGAGGTTCCCGGGGTGCTATGCCAACTCAGCCGCAGAGCCTGGGGGCGGGGGTGGTGTGGGGTCCACACGGGTGACCCTGGGGATACCCGCAGCGGAACTGGGAACCTCATGGGCAGGAGCCGGCTCCTGGGAAACCCACGTGGAGTGGCAGAAGCCCAGATTCTGAGCTGGGGCGTGGGGGCAGCGGCGACCCTGGGAGGGGGTGGGTGCCGGGGAGAGGGGGCAGGGCTCCAGGCTCCAAATGCTCCAGGCGTGTCCCCAGACCTGGTGGTCAGGAATAAGGTGCTTCTCTGGTCTGACCTAAAACACAGGATGAGGCCGATCAGGGTCTGAGAGAGAAAGAATTGAGATTAAGGAGTAGTCTTGATGTCTTACAGTAATCCCAGAGGTCCTGGGGCCAGCCAGGAGCAAGCCACCAGCCCTCAGCTTCTGAGCAGTAACTCACCGCTAGCCCTACTGAGCGCAGACGCTGGGGTTTCCGATGGAGTTTCATGGAGTCAGGAGCTCACCTGTTGCTGGGAAATGGGTGGGTCCAGAGGTGGGGGTGGGCGCAGTGTTTGGGAACATTGACACAAGGGAGGCATTAACAGATGATCTTCTGAAATTGCATTGCAGCTCTAAATGGCATAAAAATGTGTTTCATTTGATTTTTAGCTGTTCTCCAGCTCCTCAAGAAATATTCACCAAATGTTGGCAGATTCTGTCAGTCGTATAAAGGAATTCGGATTTCACCAGGTAAAAGACTCCCCTTCCATGTCAGGGGCGAAGTGCAGAGCCAGTTCTGCTGATGTTTCACAAATTGGTTTATTAGCCTCACACAGAAATGAAATTAAGCAGCAGGATGTGAATTCTGAGATGCTCGTGAACACAGCTCTTCATCTTTACCTGTTGATCCGGAGTGGGAGAGTCTTGAGTATCACGGAAAGAGCAGGTGCCAGGATGTATCAGCTGGACCCCTCCCCGAAGACCCGATACAGTCAGAGCAGGTGGCGGCCAGCTGTGGGGAGACTGATTTCAGAGATAAAGGCAGCATGAAACGTGGCCGAATGGTGGATTCAGATCAGGTTCCGCAGCGTCCACCCCCTCTCGAACCTGCCCCTTTGCGCCGAGTGACCTCTTGTTTCACTGTGTCCACAGGGCTCACGGGACCTCCAGGCGCTCAGCTGTCTGCATCTGTGTGGACGGCGGTCTCCTGGCGCCCTTGTCCTGCTCTCTTGGTCCCAGAGATGCTCTCAGGATAACTGAGGCAGGGACTTGGAACCTTGTAGGGCTTGACCACAGAAGATTGGAGAAAGTAGAGTAAAAGATGAGGCTGTGAAAAGAAGGATCTACTGGCCATGGTGGGGTGGCGGGGATGAGGGCGGCCTTGGTCCAGTTCCCACGGACAGTGTGACCCAGGCGCCTTCTCCTCTGCGGGGCCGAGCGTGACCCGCGAGCACGCACGTCGTAGACTTGAGTCACGGAGACCCTTGGAGCTCCGGGCCTGGTATGCAGCTGCTGCTGAAATAGGTGCCTCTTTCCAAAAACAGCAGCCATAGTTGCTAAAGGAGCTTCCCAGGGGCACTGCCCTGACCATGATGTCATTTTACACGCGGGCAGGTGGGGAAGAAAGGTCAGAAGGTCTGCCCTGTTCGTTCAGACCCCTGTGTTGAGGTCCTCCTGAGTGCCGGCCTCTGCTGAACAAAACAGCTCGAGTCCTGCCCTCAGAAAGCTGCTGTTTCTGACGAGGAGACAGATGATAAACCTGACGTGTGAAGTCAGGTCCTAGGAGCTCTGGAGGAAAATAACTGCAGGATAAGGGAGCTGAGGATGGGCCTGAGAAGGTCGCTATGTGAAGTGGATATTGGAGCAGAGGCCTGGAGCCTGAGGCTGGGGCCATGGGGCTGGCTGGAGAAGCCCGTTCCAGGCAGAGGGAACCGCACATAGGAGGACACAGAGGCAAGAGCTGTCGGACGCAGTGAAGGGAAGACAGGAAGGTCAGTGGTGGAGGCAAGAGAGAAATGGGTGGATGAGCTGGACCGAGGGGCCGGAGAGGGAGCCGGTGGGACGGTCTGCATCAGCGGCTGCAATGAGCGGCTCTGTGTTGGGGCCTTTGACAGCCCCTCTGCCCGTCTCCAGCTCCGCACCGTGGCCCCTGGACGTGTGGACCAGCGTCCAGCCTCAGCCCTGCTGCCCCTCCACTTCCCGGCCTTCATCCTGGACCTCCGGGCTGCGGCAGACAGACAGGTTCCCTGTCTTCAGCGGACAGACAGACATTTCCACTTCTAAAGAGGAGATGAGGGTTTTCTAAAGAGAGGAAGTAAAGGCCAACTTGTAAAGCCTTTTCTAAAAGAACATTTTTCTGGAGGAATCCTTAGGGAAACTCCAGACGGGTTCTCGAGTGTTCTAGCCGGGCTGGATGAGCAGAGCGGCCAAGGCCAGATCTCACCCGCTGTCCTGTGAAGTTCACTGATTCCGTCTCCTCCTTCCCTGGGCCCATACGCACTGATGCTGCGGATGAAAAAGGAGTGCGACTTCCTAAACACGGCGCTCCCCGACACTGGGGTATCCCCCCAGCAACCGAGCACCGCCCAAGCTCTTATTTACTTAATATATTCCCTGAAGGAGACCCACTTTGCAAGCTTCTTGCTTTTTCTGAGCAACAGTATGCATGATATCATAGTTTAGTATTGCAGTTATATTTTCCCAGTTATTTTAAATTGTTTTTAAAAAGGCAGGTAGCAGACAAAGCTCCACTTTGAAGTTTTTCCTGTTTGAACTTAGAAATTGCAACCGGCCCTTGGGATTTATTTCAGGCTTGCCAACAGCTTCGTTAAGGCGATGACAAACTTTAATATTCATGCCAAACACCAAAAGCTGTTCTTTGGTTTTTATAATATTGACTAAAGAAAGGGGCTTAGCCCTAGGCAGGAAAGAGTTTAGAAAGAAGACAAAAGTGAAAACAAGCAAACCACAGAAGTTTCGATACATCTGAGGTGAAGTGCAGTTTCTGAATTATCACCATCTTCTGTGTTAACTGCGATTTAATGGTGATTGAAACCAGTTTCACAGCGTGTATTTTACTTGTGGTGAAATCATTTAACCACAAGAGAGTCTATTTTTCTATAGGAAAACACAAAAGAGAAAAGCCATCATTTTTGTGGTGCAGAGCAATGCACAGCCAGACCTCCCTGACTTTCAGTTTCTTTCATGACTCAGCTGACAGGCTGTTTCTTGCTGCGTGCAGCGAGTTGTAAATTCAGTTTTCTCGTGAGCACTCAGGAGGCTGTCCTCAAATAAACAAAGGGGTTTCTAAGTGATTTGGTGTGTTAGATTTCTCTCTGGTTAAAAACAAATTCCTTTGAATGCACTTAATGCTTCAGAATGGTAAACGTCAAAATGGTTGATGGTAAACTTCATATTATGCAAATTTTACTGTAATTTTTAAAATGTTATGGTGGTAGTTTCATGTAATAGGTATTTTACCACAGTAAGTAATATTGTAGGTCTGCTACGCTTCAATAAAAAAAATTTCCTTTCCAAGTAAGACTCATGTTTCTTAGTGTATATTTTTCCTCCTCAAAAAGGATGCTTTTAAAAGATATTTTTGTATATTTTATTTTTTTAAACTTTATCTATTGAAGTACAGTTGATATATAGTATTGTGTTAGTTTCAGGTGTACAACACAGTGATTCAGCTAGTTTTTTCTGATTATTTCCATTATATGTTATTGTAAGATATTGAGTATAATCCTTGTGCTATACAGTAAGTCCTTGTTTATCTGTTGTATATAGCACTTTGATCCTAACTTATCCCTCCCTCCTTCCTTCTCCCCTTTGGTAATCTCTAGGTCCACCCATGTTTCTGCAAGTGTTTCGTTCTTTTTTATGGCTGAGTAATATTCACCTGTGAATAAATATCGTATCTTCTTAAGCCAGTTATCTGTTGATGGGGACTTGGGTTGTTGCTGTGTCTTGGCTATTGTCAGTGGTGCTGCTATGAACTTTGGGATGCATATATCTTTTCGAATTAGAGTTTTCTCCAGATATACATCCAGGAGTGGGATCACTGAAACACGGGGTAGCTCTATTTTCAGTGTTTTAAGGAACCTCCATACTGTTTTCAATTGTGGCTGCACCAATCTACATTCCCTCCAGCAGTGTAGGAGGGTTCCCTTCTCTCCACTCCCTCTTCGGCATTTATTTGTAGACTTTCTAATGATGGCCATTCTGACTGGTGTAAGGTGATAGCACGTTGTAGTTGACTTGACTTCTCAAATAGTTAGCCTCTTTCCATGTGCCTCTTGGCCATCTGTATGTCTTCTTTAGGAAAATGTCCTGTTAGATTTTCTGCTCCTTTTTTGATTGGGTTGTTTATTTTTTCAATATTGAGTTTATGAGCTGTCTATATGTTTTGAATAGTAACCTCTATTGATCTCATCTTTTGCAAATATTTTCTCCCAGTCCATAGGTTGTCTTTTCACTTTGTTGATGGTTTCCATTACTGCACAGACACGTATAAGTTTGATTAGGTCCCATTTGTTTATTTTTTGTTTTTATTTCTTATGCCTTGGGAGACTCAGTTAAGAAAATATCGCTATGATTTATGTCAGAGGATGTTTTGCCTATGTTCTCTTGTAGGACTTCTATGGTATTGTGTCTTATATTTGGGCTTCCCAGGTGGCACTAGTGGTGAAAAAAAAACCAAAACTCACCTGCTGATGCAGGAGATGTAAAAGACACAGGTTCAATCCCTGGGTTGGGAAGATTCCCTGGGGGAGGGCATGACAACCCACTCCAATGTTCTTGCCTGGAGAATCCCATGGACAGAGGAGCCTGGTGGGCTACAGTCTGTGGGGTCACAAAGTCAAGACATGACTGAAGCGACTTAGCATGCGCATGTATCTTATATTTAGGCCCTTAAACCATTTTGAGTTTATTTTTGTGTGTCGTTTGAGGAAGTTTTCTAACTTCACTGATTTACAGTAGCTGTCCAGCTTTGCCAGCACCACTTGGTGACGAGACTGTCTCTTCTCCGTTGTATAGTCTTGCCTCCTTTCTCATAGATGCCTGTAAGTGTGGGTGTTTATTTCTGGGCTCTGTATTCTGCTCCATTGATCTGCATGTCTGTTTTGTACTATTGTCATGCTATTTTTTTTATTACTGTAGCTCTGTAGTATAGAGTGAAGTCCGGGAGGTATTTTGCCTCCATCTTTGACAATTTTCCTCAGGATTGCTTGGGCAATTCTGGGTCTTTTGCAGTTCCATATAAACTTTAGGATTGTCTGTTCTAGTTTTGTGCAAAATGTCATGGGTCTTTGGATAGAGATCACATAAATCTGTAGATTGCTTTGGGTAGTATGGCCATTTTAACAATATTTACCCTTCCAATCCAAGAACATGGGATATTTTTCCATTGTTTTGAATTATTTTCAATTTCCTCTATCAGTGTTTTATAATTCTCTGTGTAAAGGTCTTATTCCTAGGAGTTTTTTGGTTTTGTTTTGTTTTGTCTTGCTTGACATGATTTTAAAATCACATTTAAATTTCTTTGTTAGTCTAAAGAAATGCAACAGGTTTCTGTATATTAATGTTGTATCCTGCTACCTTGCTGAATTCATTTATTAGTTCTAGTATATTTTGTGTGGAGACTTTAGGGTTCTCTATATAGAGTATCCAGTCATCTGCAGATAGTGGCAGTTTTACCTCTTCCCTTCCAAGTTTTTCTTTGTCTTTTATTTCTGTTTCTTGTCTGATTGCTATAGTTATGACTTCCAATACTATGTCGAATAGAAGTGGCAAGAGTGGGCATCTTTGCCTTGTTCCTGTGGGAAGTTTTCAGCTTTTCACCGTTGATGATGATGTTTGGCTATGGGTTTGTTGTAAATGGCCTTCATTATGTTGAGATATGTTCCCTCTAAACACATATTGACGAGAGTTTGGCTCTTTTACATTCTTTTTATGCATCTGTGGAGATAACCATATGGCTTTTGTCTTTTCTTTTGTTGATGTGGTGTACCTCATTGATTGATTTCGGTATGTAGAATCATTCTTGTGACTGTGGGATGAATCCAACTTGATCATGGTATAGGATCCATTTTATGTATGGTTGGATTCAGTTTACAAATATTTTGTTGAGGAGTTTTGCATCTATATTGTTCAGAGATATTGGCCTGTAAATTTCTTTTTTGTAGTGTCTTTGCCTGGTTTGGTGTAGGGTGATGTTGGCTTCATAGAATGATTTGGGGAGTGTTCCCTCCTCTTCAGTCTTTAGGAAGAGTTTGAGATGGATTGGTATGAATTCTTCTTTGTGTGTGTGGTAGAATTCCCCAGTGAAGCCATTTGGTCCTGGACTTTTGTTTGCAAGAAGTTGTTTTTGGTTTTGTCTTATTTTTTAATTAGAGATTCTATTTCACTTCTAGTAACTGGTCTATTCAAATTAACTGTTTTTTCCTGATCAGCTTTAGCAGACTGTATTCTTCCAGAAATGTGTCCATTTTCTCTGGGTTGTCCACCTTGTTGGCATATAATTGTTCATAGTTTTCTCTTATGATTTTTTAAATTATTTCTGTGGTATCAGTTGTTATCCTCTCATTTCTAATTTTGTTTACTTGAGTTCTTTCTCTCTCTCTTTTTCGTGAGCCTGGTTAGAGGTTTGTTAAATTTGTTTATCTTTAAAAACAAAACAAAACAGTTGTTGGTTTTATTGATCTGTTCTATTGTTTTTGAACCCTATTTTATTTATTTCCTTTCTGATCTTTTATTTCCTTCTTTTTGTTGACTTTGGATTTTGTTTGTCCTTTTTGTAATTCTTTTAGGTGGTAAGTTAGGCTGTTTTGAGATTTTTTTCTTGTTTCTTGAGGAAGGCCTGTATTTCTATGAACTTCCCTCTTAGAACTGCTTTTCCTGCATTCCATAGATTATGTAAGTTTGTGTTTTCATTTTTGGGCTTTCTATTCTCTTTCATTCATCTATATGCTCATTTTTGTGCCCACACTGTACGTAGCACCTGCCTCATTGCAGGAAACTCCCAGAGTTCCTCATGAGTGTTTGTTTTTGTTTTTTTTAACAGAAGAAAGAATCCGTGAAGAAAACACAAGATGAAGAAATAAAACAAATAGATGAAGAGAGAACCAAGCAGATTTATAAAAACTGGAAAGAAGATTCAGAGTGGCAGGCCTCTTGTAAGTATCCAGAGGCCTCTATTACAGTGACACTAAACCAGCTTGTTCACTTAATAATGTGACGATCTGGGAAACACTTAGAATGATTGTTCAGAGATATTTTTAACACTAAATTATTACTCAAAGGCTACAGGCCACCTTTTGAATTGCAGAAAGGTTCTCAGCTCATCTTTGTACCAACAACATTATGATGTATCTAAATGATGGAATGGTATTTAGCTATGAAAAATGTTTTGGAAGAGTATTTAATGTCCTTGGAATATATTATATATTTTTAACTTGGAGAAGAAAAATGATTATAAAAATAGTATGAAAGGCATCCCTATTTTAAAATGTCTAAGTATATGAGGGAAAAGACATGGAAGGTTAATATATTAACATTAGTATTCTTGGAGAGGCAGGATTCGAAGTTACTTGTTGGACTTCTTGTTTTTGTGTATTTTTCTCAGTTTTCAACAGTGAGCACATCTAAACTTTGTAATCAGAAGACAGGGAGAGCAGGCAGTCTTGTCCACATTCTTGCCACACCTGTGGCTGAACCCTGCTTCATTCTGAGTTAGCACTGCCCAGAGATGCTCCTCCTGGGGAGAGGCCAGTGCAGATGAAGGCAGAGCAGAGGGTGTGTGAGGCTGATGCTAGGAGGATTCAGGTGTGAAGCAGGGTTAGGGCTTCCATCTGACTTGTACAAGGAAGCCCTAACTGCCCAGTCATCCCTTGAGGCAGCAGAAGGAGCCAGGGATGGGCATGTTCGCAGAATGTTGGGAATTCCTTTACAACGAACACCATTAAAATGACAGTTTTTGTGAAATGAAAATGTTCGTTCACCAGATCCCATCACTTCTGTGCAGTGAACTTAGTGTAATGGAAGATTTTAGGCATTTCTATGAAGTCAGACGTAACAGATTCTGACCAATAATGCCTGAAATGCAGATAAATACCCATAAGGCTTATTCTTACATCCTGCATTCAAGTCCTTGATGCTCGGTTGCTGGAATAAAAACCCCAAACCAACAGCCCTCTGTGTTACAAAGCAACCATAAAAGGCTGCTTTGGGATGCTTCCATGCACCCACAGAGGCTGTGACTGACCGTGTAAGAATCATTCCCCTCTTCGGTCTGGGAGGCCGAATCACTCGTGGTTCAGCCAGGCGGACTCTGAGCCTCGCTGCCCACCCTCCCCGTCCCCGGCCACGAGCCACTGAGGAGCCCCTGATGGTTTGGGGGGCGGGGTGTCATCCTGAGACCCCGCTGACCCGACCCTCGCTCGGGCTGGGGCTCCTCTCCGCCTTGGCCGCTGCAGGAAGCTCTCGGGCACGGGGCTCCCCGTCCTCCCCCGCCCCGGCCCCCTCTCCCACCCCCCGGTCTCCCTCTCAGCGAACCCCGCGGAAGGAGAGGGCAGGCGCCGGGCCCCGACCCCTGGGGGCCGTGCCCTGTCCCCAGAGCCGCTCTGCCCCGCACCCGCGGCGCTGGCTCAGCTCACCGCCCCCGAGGGCTGCCGGGGCCTGTCTCGAACCCCGCTGTCTCTCCTAGTGCGAAAATCCAAAGCTGCTGATGAGAAGCGGCGCTCCCTGGCCAAGCAGGCCCGGGAGGACTACAAGCGGCTGTCGCAGCGGGGGAGGAGCGGCAAGGGGCAGCAGGGCCCGCCGGGCGGCCCCCAGAAACCCAGGAGGCCGCCACTCCCGCCCAAGCCTCAGTTCCTGAGCCCAGCAGGACAGCCACACACACCTCTCAGGTGAGACGCCTAAGTACTTAAAGGTAAGTGGCGTGGCCGCTTCGGGGACAGAGGCTGCGGGTGCCATTGAGTCCGGGCCCAGCTCCCAGCCTACGATGCTGAGACACCGGGGCAGGCCTGCATCCCTCCTCGCCTCTAAAATGCCCACTGTGGGTACCACTCACATGCCCAGTAACTTCGTGAAGATACCTAGAGAGGTTAGCGACTTCGCATGCCCAGAGCCCCTCCCCGGTGACAGCCCGCGAGGGGAGCGGGACGTTGAGGGGTCGTCACAGTGGGAACCTAGGCTTGCTGGCCTTCATGTCACCAGCAGAACTCCCTTTTCCACTGATTAGATTTGATGACACGTCTCATTCTGGGGTGGCCTTTCCTGGTGGCCCTGCAGGTAAAGAGTCTGCCTGCCAGTGCAGGAGAGGCAAGAGACGCAGGTTCAATCTCTGGGTCAGAAAGATCCCCTGGAGCAGGAAATGGCAACCCATTTCTTGTCCGGAACATTCCATGGACAGAGGAGCCTGGAGAGCTACAGTCCACTGGGTCGCAAAGAGTCAGACACGACTGAACACACGCATTCATTCTGGGATATACAGCAAAGCGCATAGGTTGAGAATTTGGAAATGTTTCTTTTTTAAATGAAGACTTTATTTGATGATGACGATACCCTAGCTTTGAGAGTATTAGGCCAAACAACTTGTTTTGGAAGCCTCTTAATGAAAAATACAGTGGTACCACAGCAGAAACTCCCATACCTTATTTTTATTTATTTATTTATTTTAATTGGAGGCTAATTACTTTACAGTATTGTGGTGGTTTTTGCCATACTTTCACATGACCTTATGTTAACTGATTATAAAATTATTTTCTCCCAGTTATTGCTATTCTATGATTTGGTACATAGAAAGATGATATTTAAAATAACCGAGAGAAATCACACATTGATTTAATGAAATACAACTGTCTAAAGCCTTGTCCTCTCTGACATAAAAACTAAAAGCCCTTCTGTTAGGAGTATGGAAAAATAAAGAACAAAGCTCTCCCTTTGTATGAGGTCAGTGGTTATCTTCAGGTTTTTTCCTAACGGGAATTATGACCTCAGAGGATGCAGGGGTTGGACATTTCCTCTACTGTGATTATTTCTTTACTCAATTGAAAGGTTCCATCTGGGGACTTGCAGGCCAGCACGAAATGACCATGTTCTACAGAATGGCTGTTTGGGGAATGAGTTTTTGCCTATGGATAACAAAACAAGGAAGGCCCCACAGTGCTGTGACCGGGCGCAGAGCGTGAACTCCTGCCCAGCCCCTCCCGCGCCCGAGCCTGTCACCGAGTCGGGCCCGGGTCCCCGCGGGCTGGGTGCTCATCCAGGCTCCTCCGAGGGTGGGAACATGCTGTCATATGTCTGCACCCAGGGCGTTTTTAGAGCACAGCCCATGCGACTGACGGCAAAGAAGGTGCCCTTTCACGAGGGTTTTAAGATGATGTTTTAAGCTCAGTTAGCTCATTTTTTCCAACTTAAGCCTCTTGCATGAAGTGCTTTTTGTGAGGTGGCCAGACTGGATGGTGTCAGAGCTGGGATTTCAAACATTGATGTCCGAGGTCAGCTAGGAGCCAGCCCAGGGCAGAACAGACATGGACTGTCCATGGAGTTTCCGCTTGACCGCCAAAGATTTCCTGAAGAAAGAACCTAATCTGAAGGTTGGGAGGAGAAATTAGCATGTAATCTCTTGCGGGCAGTGTCAGCTCCCCCGGAAGGTCAAGTATTATAGGCTGTTTTCTCCAACTGCATGTTCCTGTGTACGTGCATGTGCATCATGTGTGTATATGTACAAGCTGACATGTATGTCACATGTAACTCATGGTAGCATGTGTTACCATTAAGACGTATAAAGAACATAAGTTAATTTACATGATATCCAGTAGCTCATTCAGACTCGTCGTTTTTACGTTGAATTCTGCTCAGAATTAGTGGGCCTGGGACTTGGAAATACATTTATTACTAATACACTGCAGCGTTGCTTTTTATCATGGAAATTGACTTAGGTCCCAAAACTTCAGTTCTGCTACTGATTTTTATTTCAAAACCATGCTGCTGCCTGTATCTTTCTCTTAACCAAGTTTCAAACACTCTTCTTTCTTTTACTTTCCATTTCTGAGACTGCTAAAAAGCAGAACTTTTGAAAGTGTATCACAGAAGGAAGCAAGTCAGGGAGGTTAGTGGAAACAGGAAGAAGAGGAAATTGAATGATGAAAGTGTTGGGGAAGTTTATTCTATGGCATTTGGTTTCTTCTGCTTGCAAGCACTTGCTCTCCAGGAAAAATATGGGGTGAGGGGGCAGAATATTTCACTTTTTAGTGCTCTTTTCTCAGTTTTTAATTGGGAGTTAATGAAGCTTCTCACTCATATCAAAAATGAACTAAATACTGTGGTGTTAACGCATACCCATGAGTAGTCTACAGGACTGGCAGGGCAGATCCATTCCCCACCCTGTTCCCTGACTTGGAGGAGCCCTGAGGGCTGTATGCAGGGCCCCACCCCACGAGCTCAGCCGTGTGATCTTCAGACATGTGTTGTATTTGTGTGTGTGTGCGTGCACGTGAGTTTTGAAAGTATTTTCAAATCGAGTGACTCTAACTTGCAAACCTTTTGCGAATGTCAGGAATGAGAGAGCGACGAGGCCGGCGGCCAGCCCAGCCCAGGAGGACATCAGGCGCTGGTTCCGGGAGGAGCAGCTTCCTCTGCGGGCCGGCTACCTGACCGACTCGGACAGCATCGCCCCCTGGTTCCACGGTGAGTGCGCGGCGCCGACCCTGGCGGCGAGTGAACCAGCAGGAGGGCAGGATAAAGGCTCCCTTCCGCTTGAGCCGCCCCAGAGAGGCTCTGATAGTGTTCTCAGAAAGTGGATTTTCCCAGCTTTTCTCAGGGAGCGGCTGGCTCCTGCCGAGTGGCCCGGAGCCTTGGTGGCTGCCAGCGCAGGTTGGTTGACCACCCCAGATGGACACCGTGGGGCGATCGGCAAGGCATTGCCCCCCGGGCACCTGCGCAGGGCACTCGGTTGTGACCCCCGCAGATGGCAGCACCCTCGGCCCACACCCCCCCAACCAGGGAGGGGCCACCAGATGTGGTCGGAAGGGCGTGACCTTGAGCGGATCACGTTCTCTCTTGTTTAGTTGCTAAGTTGTGTCCGACTCTTTGCGACCCCATGGATTGCAGCACACCAGGCCTCCCTGTCCGTCACCATTTCCCGGAGTGTACTCAAACTCAAGTCCATCAAGTCAGTGATGCCATTGAACCATCTCATCCTCTGTCGTCCCCTTCTCCTCCTGCCCTCAATCTTTCCCAGAATCAGGGTCTTTTCCAATGAGTCAGTTCTTCTCATCAAGTGGCCAAAGTATGGAGCTTCAGTTTCAGCATCAGTGCTTCCAATGAATATTCAGGCTTTAGGCTTTGATTTCCTTTAGGCTTTGATTTCCTTTAGGCTTTGGTTCTCTGTAGTGAATCCATTTATCCGAGCCTCATTTTCCTCAGCATTAAATGAAGGGGTTGAGCACTGTGACCTTTAATTAAAAGCTCTGTGGTTTTGATTATGCAGTTAAGGCTGCGAGGTGGGCTTGTTGGAGGCTAAGCAGAGGTCAGCTCATAAAGCATGTCTTCATTCGATGCTCGAAACGGGGCTCATTCAAACCATCTATTTACCTAGCACCCACCTCACCGACCTTTCAGTTTCTTGGATTTCAAGAACAGGCGGTGACTTTCTGCTTCTGCAAGCTCTGTGGTTGGGTTGGATTATCATTGGCTCTGTGGGCAACAAAAGCTTTAAGACAGAAATCACATCCTCTCACAGAGAACACTTGTCCTAACGGGTGTCTTGGTTTGAGTTGTATTTAAGGCTACGCTATTTTCAGTAGGATCATCTCACGTAGAAATAGAGCCACAAAAATAAGTTCCCAAACCCATAGGATGGCAAACTCCTCTGAAAAAGAACCAAGTTGTCTGTGGCAGGCTCTCTGCAAAGGGGCTGCTTTTATAGGTGCAGGAGAACCATCTAGTTTTCCCTGAAAATGCAGGTTCTCTGATGACTGAGGTTTAATAATTCCATGCCCAGAGGAGCCCCTCTGTCTCCCAGGACGAGGTCATAAGCCTCCTTCCCCTTTCTGCTCTCCTCAAAAGATACTGGGGGAGGGAGTGACAATGGCGTCAAAAGATAAACAGAAAGAACATGGTCAGTGACCCGTCTGTCATGCTCACCTCCACCATCTCGCATTGCCTGTTTTTTCCTTTTTAAGATAAGCAGTGAGAAAACTGGCCTCTCTGTAGTCTCTATGTCATTGGGCAGAAGATGCTGCTGTCCCTGGTTCCGAGGGTGCTAGCTTTTTTAACTGCAGGGAGTGAGAAATTCAAAGTGCTGATGTTATTAAAAATCCTGATACTTTAATAGGCAATTCTACTTGAAACAGTTGCTATGATCTAGGAAGACACAGTTGGGCTAAAAATTTAGTTGAAGCTTTGGTTCCAATATAAGTCTCTTGGATTTTACCTGTCATTTATTAATTGCTATTGTTAATGATTTATTTTCATTTATATAATTATTTATCATAGTTGTATCAGTCGTGTCCAACTCTTTGTGACCCTACGGACTGCAGCCCTCCAGGCTCCTCTGCCCATGGGATTCTCCAGGCAAGAATACTGGAGTGGGCTCCTCCAGGGGATCTTCCCGACCTAGGGATTGAACCATGTCTCTTACATTTCCTGCATTGGCAGGCGGGTTCTTCACCACTATCTCTGCCTAGGAAGCCTATTGTAAGCAAAGTAAATGATATAGTGATGTAATAGTAAATACACAGCCATGTAGTCAATGTAAATTATTATCTTTGGTTTTAAGAAGAAAAAATTTGCATTCTATGATAAAGAGAAGAGGGACCACAGCTTATCTCTTTGAAACATAACTGTTTACTAGGAAACGTGTTTTGAAATAACAGGATGGCAATTCGCTGTTGGTTTGCCGTCTTCCTCTCGTTGGCTCACACCTCGTAAATCACCCTTCATAAGTTACTGTTTTGGCCACCTAATTTCCCTCCGATGGAGTCTGTATTTCACCTCTTTCTCTAAATTAGCTTTGAGTAAGCACGGGGATGGGAAGGCAGGGGCCAGGGAAGTGAGGGCAGCTGGGCCTCTGGCTTGTGGGGTGGGCGGGGGCTGCACACCTCTGCACACCCCAGAGGATGAGGCAGGACCCCAGAGGACCCCAGAGGATGCGGGAACTTAGGGGAGGGGGCAGGGCACTCGTTTGGGGTGTGATGATTTTGAAGGTTCTTTGGGGCCATTGTGTGAAATGGTCCATGGGGCAGCCAGACTAATGGGTCAGAGCTGGAGATGATAGACTGGATCGTCAGCACGTAATTGGAAGTGTGGAGGGCGTGGGATTTTCCAGGGGTGAGCTGGGAGGGTATGAGAGAGGAAGACAAGCTAAATCCTCACTAGATTGGTGGGCTCCACCCCCACGAAACAGGAGCTGAGGGAGCGCCAGGCAGCACCCAGCAGGGTGGCAGAGGGGAGCAGACGGACAGCTCAGGTCCAGAGACCGCCCGCCGCCAGCAGATTCCGTCTTGCTCAGCGAAGATCAGGCTTTGAAGGCCTTCAACTGATGAGACGAGGCCCACCCACACCGTGGAGGGTCCTTCTCTCCTCGTTTGAACACGGTTTTTCTAATTATGAAATATTTTACACAAAAACAGCACAGGGGAAAATAAACCCAGTGCCAGTGATGTAACAAATATTATAGCTGCTCTCCAGATACAGGGAGTGTTAAAAGCCATATTTACTTTGTATCTATTTTTATTAGGAAATAAACCCTGAAAGACAGAATTAAGGCTCCCTTTTTCACTCTGTTTTGATGCTGTTTCCTCTCTCCTTCCCAAGGGATGAACCACTCTTCTGAAGCTCTCTTTCCCATCCATATTTACATTTTATTACATGGATGCGTGTGTGGGTACTTTGGTAAAGTATATTTTAAAAATATAAAACACAGGTATGCATATGTTTCTACAAAACAGAATAATGTGTTTAACATTTAACATATAACATGGTATCATGTGGTAGACATTCTTCTGAAACATGCATTTTCTCTCAATATTATGTTAAGTGGGTTTTTCTTTGTTTATAAATGACTAATCATTCCTTTTACTTGTAGTATAGTATTTTATGATATATTATTTATATATTTATAATACATATACTATAAAACACATAATCTTTTATTTGCATTTAATGATGATATATATTTTATTACACACACATATACACACGTATCATTCTTCTCTTCTACATTTGGTACAATTTTTTTTGCTATTATAGAAAATGACATATCTCCTTGAACACACTTGTGATCATTTCTTCAGAGTGTGTATTTTAGAAGTGAAATTGCTGGGAGGTAGGATATGAGCCTCTTTAATTATATTAAGTGTTGCCAGATGTCCTCCAAAGTGATTAAACAAAGTTATACTCCCACCAGCTGTACTTGAGAGTTTGTTTTCCTCATACTTGACAGTTAATCTTACCAGTGGAACCACCTTATTTCAATTTGCATTGATTCGTCATCAGTTTAGCTTTTCTGGGTTCCTAGATAGGTGGGTGTCTTCTTCTGTTATTCCTTGTAATCATTTAACCATTCTTTCTGGTCAGTTCAACGCCCCAATGCAGCACAGAGTTTTCTTAGCTCCTAACTTGGAAAGGTGGCTTTGCCGGTAGCTCAGATGGTAAAGAGTCTGCCTGCAACGCAGGAGACCAGGGTTTGATCCTTGAGTCGGGAAGATCCCTGGGAGAAGGGAATGGCAACCCACTCCAGTATTCTTGCCTGGAGAATTCCATGGACAGAGGAGCCTCGCAGGCTGCAGTCTATGGGGTCACAAAGAGTTGGATGTGACTGAGCGACTAATACACACAGCTTGGAAAGGTAGTGTGATGCAGGCTTAGTACCAGACTCCCAGGATGGATCACTGGGTTTGAGTTGTGTTTTCTCCTCTGTGAATGGAGGGAGTAATAGTATCTACACCACAGCCTTGTTTCTTAAGTAAGTCAGCTGACAGGTGAGAAGGCTTAGGTCCTGGTGCAGTGTTTCTGTTGTAACTGATCAGCGTAAGAGAAGGTTTACCCCTCCGGTCCCCTCTGCCCTTCTCCTCCTCATCAGCCTCACCCAGCCAGAAAGTGTTGTCTTTAGCAGCAGCATCACATACAAGGAAGAGGCAGCACTGCAATAAAATAGATCTTAATTATTGCCTATGCTGTTTCCTCAAGTATTGACTTAGGGCCTGTCCTTGATAATAGCTTCCCTGTTGGCTCAGATGCTAAAGCATCTGCCTGCAATGTGGGAGACCTGGGTTCGATCCCTGGGTTGGGAAGGTGCTCTGGAGAAGGAAATGGCAACCCACTCCAGTACCCTTGCCTGGAAAATCCCATGGATGGAGGAGCCTGGTAAGCTACAGTCCATGGGGTCGCAAAGAGTTGGACACGACTGAGCGACTTCACTTGTCTCTGATAAGTCCAGAGCCCAGGAGGTCACCCCAGAAGGCAGCAATAATCTGGAAGGACCAAACAGGGAGTGAAGTTGCTTGGAATCATCCCAGGCAGTTACGATTGTGTGTGGGGTCAGCCGGGAGGGTGTGGAGAGACAGCAGTGCATACTGGGGTTGCTGAACTGTGTCTCTTATAGGTTTATAGTCTGAGTGTTGTCGTCTGTTTGGTTTTGTTTCCTCAAGCATCGTCTTCTTCTCTCTCTGTCCTCACCCCTTACC